AGGCCTTGACCAGGTCGCCAGCGGCGGTGACAACTTCGAACTCCAGGGTGTTATCGGCACCAAGACCGAAGTTGCTGCTGAGGGCGGAGTGACCGCCGCCTTGAGTGTAGCCACCGGCGAGGCCGACCGTGGGACATTCGCCACCGACGACGACAAGGCCCTTGGCGGCTGCAGCCTCGAGGATCTGGTAGCCAACCACACCAGCCTCAATCTTGAAGGCAGGGCCTTCGTAGGTCGGACCAGACCAGTCCTGGTACTCGATATCATTCAAGTGGTGAGTCCAAACAGAGAGGGCACCGGCACCGGTTGAACGGCCAAGGTAACTATAAAATCAGCATTTATCTGTAGAAGACCATTGAGGCGACTTACTCATGGCCGGTATTACGGATAACGAAGCGGATATTGTTATCACGGGCAAAATTGACAGCAGCAATGACCTGGGCGCTGGAAGAGACGTTCACAGCGTAGTTCACGTAGTTGCCGAGGCGGCACGGCTTATACTTGGAGGTATATGGGTCGCAACTCTGGTTGGCAAAGAACATTTGCATCACCGATGAAGAGGACTCAAGACTGGGGCGATTAGCGATGTCAATTTTTCTATACTAGCATCACTTACTGGGTCTGGGGTTTGTTCCAGTCGGTTTTGAGCGCTGCACAGGCGGCAGCATCGTAGTTGGGCGCATGGCAGGGGGTACCGATAGGGACGGTAGCAACCAGACGACCACCAACGGTGTTGTTGAGGGAGGCCCAAGCCGACGGAGCAGGCCAACAGCTATCGCTTGGCAAACAGTGACAGTTGGACGCAATAGCCGGGGCGGCAATAGCCACGAGGGAAGGCAATGTCCACTTCATGGTGGAGGAGATGAAAGGGATAAGGTTGGAGAGAAATGAAGGCACAGGTGCCGATCATTCCCGTCTATATACGTTGACTTCACATTCCTGCAATGAACCTGAATCTCTGTACATTCGGAGATGTTTCCTAGTGCGTCTAGTCCAATCAATAAATATGGGGAGGACAATTTCGCCGGGGTGGAACCGAGATAGTAAGTTGAACGGCAGGCACAAGTCCCGGTTGTGCAATATAATAGTGTTCATGCACGGTGATCGACATGTCAGTTGTGATAGTTATCCAGCTATTTGACCGGAGATTAGTTCCAGCGTTATTCTAGGAACATGATGCTATTCTCCTTTTGCGAACCTCAGCTTTTTAATCTAATCTCGGCACGGAGGCCCCGGATAGACCAGAAATACCGAGGATCTGATCCAGTTCTTCAGTCAAACCCCGTTAAATCCCCACTTGGAGAGAACCCCCCGGTCACTTCCAAGATTCGGAATGTTGAAGGTTGAGGAATCCCAAGGTTGGCGCTTCCAGACTTTTCTGTGGGAAAGAGTGCCAAGGCTGCCCAATTAGGCTTAGCCCCATATATTGGAGAAACTTACTTTCCGAGGTGAGCTTTAAGGTCTACCGCCCACGTGGCTGCTATACTTCTATTGGTCTCGCCCTATCTTCCGCCTTTTTAGTCGGGATTCTGCCAGGGTAAACGAGAAATACCTCATGCCAAGACCCTTGCCACTATAAGAGGATATAGGTTCGGACTGTATGCTCCTTTAGACACCCCTTTACTTGAAGCCTCTGCCAATCCTTATATTTTAACGGTATTTGACTGCGCCGGTAAGACAGATGAAATCCCTCCAATTGGTGTTTAATTAAATCCACTAAGCCCCACCTCAGGGTGTCAGCCTTTAATATATATTGTACGCTTTGTGGCTTGAGGCTTCGTTTAACAATTCCGCAGTTCAGGGGTATTTTATAGGGCCTTATCTAGACAGTTACTATGACATTATGATAGATGAACCAATTATTCTCCTATTCGCATTTTCAATCCCCCCGAATAGGCAGTTAAGAGAGAGAACCAGAAATGCACAAGTTGACGTTGGGGACTTTGTACAGGATTAATAATAGTTCACATGCAACTTCCAAGACTCGAAGGCTAATTTTGACTCAAATAGAAATGATCGTCGCGAAACCTACTCCAGCCAAGGTCGTAGATTGGCCAGTCCATGGCTCAACCACAGATCATCTTAGAGCATTCCACGGTTACGGTCTAATACCCGATGGATTAAGTTGACCTTCCAAATCCAATCGTTTTCTCCAAGGCTTCCCGGGGTTGATGACACAAACTGCTAAGCTCGTTCTTCTTCCGGACTCTCACCCGTCATGTCAACTGAAATTTCTTATATATCACTTCACAATGCTATCCAGTTAGCCTCTTTATATTCTCACCATGTCACAAAATCTTGGCCCATCCCTGGAGAGGGGAATTTGGGCCGCGGTGGCCATTGCTGCGGTGATCGTTATTTTACGCGTGGTCGGAAAAATCAAGATCAATCGGTTTCGCATCGATGATGGACTGATGATCTTCGCAGAGGTATTTAGATCTCCCTGGCTAGCTTGTGGACTACCCTAGACTAACGTCAATGCTCTCTAGATCCTTGCAATCGTATCAAGCGCGTTTCTGACCCTGTCGGTTAGGCATGGGTTCGGTCAGAATCTCAGCACACTAACGGCAGACGACAAGGCAGCGGTCTTGAAAAATATCGCAATCCAGGTGCCGATCGTCACCATCAGCACCACCATCGCCCGCTCCGCATTCATTATCTACATCATCCCCCTGGTCGGAACCTACAAGTATTACCAGGCCGCGTTATGGGTTGTTTTGGCGATCCAATTCGCCGGGAACGTTGCATCAGCCGTGCTACCACTTAGCATCTGTCGCAATGTAGCCGCTCTCTGGGATCCAGTAGCTGCAGCTACGACGACCTGCGGCAACGTAGATGCCGTGATGAAATTCGCCTACTATTCCAACACATTCAACTCAGCCACCGATCTGTTTTTGGCCGTCTTCCCGACAGTCGTGTTCTGGAACTTGAATCTGAAACTACCCATCAAGCTCGGTTTGATCGCTCTTCTCAGCTTAGGCATTGTGTAAGTACCTCTACCCAAACCGCATAGCCACAATATACTAACCTAATGTCTCAGTGCAATGATCGCATCCATCATCAAAACAACCAAACTGAACTCCGTACCCAGCATCACAAACACTGGAGCCGCGGGCGGCATCGAGCTAATCCGCTGGGGATATATCGAAAACGTCATTATCATAATCACCTCCTCGGTCCCCTGCATCCGCCCCTTGATCATGTCCTCCGTGCGCAAGCTCTCCAGCGGCAAATACTCCCACACCTACGAACTCGGCATGCCTTTCAGCGGGCGCAAAACGACCGGTGCCCCAAACGAGACGAACCAGTCGCGCCGCGCGCGCAGGTTCAAGTCCGATGTCGAGAACAACAGCATCGATCGCATTCTGGGCCATGAGCACAGCGCGCGCACGGGTACGTCTATCGAAGGCGTGCCCGATTCCCCTACTTCATCCGGTCCGGGTATCACGAAGCAGGTAGAGATTTCAGTTTTCTCAGATGTCAGACCACCTATGCAGAAAGATCGCTCGTTCGGGAGTTAGACCGGAGTGTATAATTAGTATATAGGACCAGACTTGTAAGATCAGCTACGCCGTCACGAATATGTACATATACACACATCCTTGTGAACACTATGAAATTTACGTGCGTAATAGTTTCATACTTACTACTCCGTATTCGACCCTCTATTCCCTTATTCCCAGCCCCCTGGTTCCATACTACTAGTGCCGAGCCGGTGGGGTCGATCAAACCGGCTATGCCAGATCCTGTGCATGAGCCGACCACATGGCCTGCGTCCTGTGCGGTGCTGCTGCGAGCGGTCTCATTCGCGGGAGTGGGTATCACCGGCCCTGATACCAGGAACACAGTGGAGCTGTTTATATAGTGCACACGTACTAAACTCTCTTTGCTCCGACGCTTGCTCATACATATCCCCACCTCGTGGAAAGAGCCACGTACTTCGCGCTAGCTACTGTGGGGATTGGACACACGCCACATGTTGTCTTGGTATTCCCGGGACTAGTAGGGCGCTTTGACTGCAGGTACGGAGGGGGAGAGCTAACTAGGGTTCGGAAAATACTTGCCGATCGTGTATAATGGTTCGTGTAGGTCAGCGCTAGCGTTATCGGACGATGGCCGAGTTGAGCGAGATGCATCCACTAGTCGTAGTAAGATATTTGCTTCTGGAATTGAGGAGATTCTTGCCGACCTCATGCTCTGGGTTGATAGGAATAGTCTGCTTGATTATAGCTATCAATTGTAATATCTAAACATCATCGCTCAGGTTGATCTCTGCACAGATACATAAAAGACTTTTTCATCAAGCACAAGATAGTCAATACCATGAAGAATCCTGGGTTTGAGCCAGAACAGGGGTTTAGCGCTTCGGTCTAGACCTCACATTCGATTATCAACACGGGCTAGCAGGAAACGTGGATGAGGTTAGCGTGCTATCAACAAGTATCATCTCGGGATTCAGACTTTCAGATATGTATCCAACCTCGAGTCCCGGTAAAAAATTTGACGAATTTAATTTAAACGTAAGTTAATTCAAATACAGATTACCCCGAAAAAGTCAAACTAATACCAAACAGAAATGAACGGAAACTCACTGCTTCAATTGAGAAAGTCTCACAATTGAGTAAAGTGAGAGCTGGTCTAAGGCTCATGAAGCCGAGAGAGAGAGAAGAAGTTGATTCTCTACAAACAAACAGAGAGCCACTTATGTATCTGGATGAAGCCTATCAAAAGGACAAACACGGCAGATTCTCCTCCGGATGGCCAGAATCTCTTAGCCTCTACCTTCTCAGTTATATCACTGCGACCCAGTCACTTCGCATTAAGGTAAGATATCAGAAAACGGAAATAGAAGGGAAACAAGTTGAGATAGAAAACGCCGTAGCGGCTCTCTAGATCAGCGTATTGACCCATGATCTCTGAGAGGAGATTTAGAGATCAGACGTATGCCGGTGCATAGTTGCGGTCGCAGGAAGAGACCATCTAGGAAAACCCCCGTGGGATCATGAGCGCAGACGCATCGCAGACTGTGACAAGCCACCAAGTCGAGGTGCTGTATGATATTCGACCGCGTCTGATAATACAGCATCGCTCAGCCGATCGAAAACACGATGGCAGTGACGAGCGATATCCCCACGTTCTGACACTGCCACCAATAATACACTGGAGCAAGAGCGGCAGGTGTTGACAATTTCCAAAATTGACGGATCGGAGCTTAGCATCGGTGATCCCTGGCCATGACGCTGGTTCTTCTTGGTGCGGAAATGCTGTCCACAGAGTTCTTTGGTGGGTTCAACGCCAACATCCAGTACAGGGGTTCCGCGGTGAGACCAGGATTCACTAGCCCACTCTAGAATCGCGCACAAGTCATAGACGTCTCCCATAGGGCTATACACTGGGGCGCGCTCTTCATCATTGTCTCGATTTCTTCGATCAAAGCTGACGGAGCTTTAAGTCGAACATTTCGGTGAGTTGTCGAATGTTCTGCTTGGACACAGATGATGGCTTGTAGCTGATCGGGTAGTATCTTTTGGAGTTGAGAGGTGAGAGGTGAGAGGTGAGAGGTGAGAGGCGAGAGTTGAGGTGAGAGTTGAGGGTTGAGAAGAAGAAGAAGAAGAAGAAGAAGAAGAAGAAGAAGAAGAAGAAGAAGAAGAAGAAGAACCTAAGTAGTGGGAGTATTATATAGGATTAGGATTTGAGTACTCCGTACACATAGCGATAATCATTTCCTTCTAGCATAGAGTGCCATAATTCATAAGAGCTATATATAAGATACTCAAAACCACACCAGCATTCCCTCCAATCTCCCATCATTCACACAACCCCACCCCTAGAACAAAGGCATCTTCGCCGTATTCTCATAATCCACATTCCCCTCCACAGCCTCAATACGCTCCATAGAAGTCCCAAAAACCCGATCCCACAGTCTCGTCTGCTTCCCATAGTTATGACTCTTCCGCCAGCCCTTCCGATGATGCAAATCATGGTCCTCGATATTGATTTCCACACCGAACCTCACCAGCAACCAGTTCAGCGTCGACGGCACACCCGAATGCATCCGCAATCCACTATGGCCAAACACCTCCCCAAAAGCGATATATTCATGACAAATCCACCACTCGTAGAACCCCATCGGCAGACCAACCAGCTTCAGACTGAAGTACGTCATCATTGGGATAACGAATAGATCGAAGAGTTCCTGCTCGTGGTCTGCGTACGCGGAGAGGAGCGGGTTCGGGTGTTTGGTCAGGTGGTGGGTTCGGTGGTATTTCCACAGATAGCTGACGTCGTGCATCAATCGGTGGTACCAGTAGTACCAGAAGTCGAGGACGACGCCGTATAGTCCGAGTTCGAGGGGTAGCCAGCTCCAGGACATCTGCGAGGGTCGTTGGGTTTGGTCGTAGGATAGGACGATTGAGAGGATCATTCGGGATCCGGTGAGTTTGTATAGCGAGGTTACTACTTTGCCGATGCCGACGTCGGGGATGCCATCCCGTGCGTGCTTGTCGCCGTCGAGGAAGCCGTATTTGTGGCCGAGACGTCGGAGGATGTGCATTTCGTGTATCACCATCGCGTTGAAGGCGAGGACGTAAAAGGCGACTGCGGCGATTGGGCTTATGGTGCGGCCGGTGAATGCCATGTAGGTCTCGTGGAGGAGGAGGGGGATGGCGGAGTAGAAGAGAACCCAGCGTTGAAGATGCCACTGGGGCATGTGTGGCACTTTATCATCTTTGCTATGGACTGGTACCTCCTTGTTTATGTCGATGGGGTAGGCGTTGAGTGTGTCGAGCATGTAATGATAGATGTTCCACTCGCTGCGAGGTGCTGTGCGCCATGTTGATTGCATGGAATCTTTGGATAACGGTTTAGCATGGTTAGAATCCACGATCGAGTTGGACTCTGCCATCTATAGCAGCGGCCATCCTGTTTATATCATTCCCACGAGGGCGCTGGTTACACAACATTTGAATGACGTGTGTTCACTTCCCTATATGGATCAGTTTACCCCAACAGGAGACGGTAGAGAATGCTCATTTGAGGATTGGCTGCAGATTATGTCGTTGGGAATGGCTAAGCCTGACATCAAAACGCAGTCGCATTGACACCAAAAGGGAAATCAATGACAATCATTGCGATTTGTGGTGTGAAGATTGACCTCTACCGAATAGACTCAGAAGACGTGGGTCGAGTCGACACCGTGCACTCGGCTTGAGCCTCGGTATTTCAGCATTTGATCGTGAAGAGTGGAGCACCGACGTCAATTCATTTATTGCCTGTGTTCACCGCTTCTTAATAGGGAGTGTCACCTGACTGGACAAATAACTTCATAAAACGGGGGATAGCTAATTGGTAGACATGGCCGGTTATTTAGTGCGGGTGATCTGCGCTAAATGCGGGATTTAATTTACAAACAGGACTAAAGTCGACGTGGAGTCATGGACCTCGAAGGACGAAATATTGCCGACTTTGACTTTCCTCGCATCCCCGATACAATTGTCAACGTCATCAGTGACATTTATCGCGTCTATTTGCAGAAGGTCACGCTATTCATCAGGCCCTACGCGAGGAGCTTCACCTTAACCCAGTTGTGATTTCGTTGATGAAGCGACTGCCATATTTGCGATACTCGGGATCAGCGGTGGATATCGAGTTCATCTATTCATACTCCCGAGCATTTGTGCATATCGAGGACTATGAAATCCGTGGGGGGCGCGATCCGGATCGGTTTAGCTATAAAAAGCCGAGGCCAGACTTTCAGCAGGCTGAGTGGAAGACTGCTTCAAAGGTTACTTGGAAGCGGATTCAGCTTGGTGATCCAGATTACGAGACTGACAATGATGATGAGCTTGAGCCCGAGGTATTGACGAACGGTCAAGATGACTAGTTCTGATATGTGGAATGACTTTGTTTGAAGTACGATCGGCGACAAAGCCAAAAGGAATAATTGTTTGACTTGAAGGCTCCTTCCTAAACCTGGGACCTCGTGTAAACAAACAAAGAAGGCGCAAAGCATGTGACATTGACATTGTCAGGGAAGGTGCGAGGGAGCTGTCGCACTCGAGGAAGGTACCGTTTGTCGAGGGTATAAAAGGACCCTTCCCCCCATTTCTCTTCTTCTCTTCTTCTTCTCTCCTCCCCATCCCTCTGACCACCATCTCACCGTAGCCCCCCGAGACAGCGTAGGCAGAGGGACCCGTAGCACATGCTGCTTCACCTACCATAGGGATCATAACATTACCATATGTATGAGGTCCATGTAGGTCTGCACCACACATCAAACCGGGCTTTCTCGTGGACGTTCCTGAAGTCGTGGCTCTCATTGCCACTCGACGAGTCCCACGGAATACATGAGGGGTGTAAATCTCCATAGCCGAGAACAGGTCGCGTAGGTTTGATCTCCATGCAAGCATCAAGCCCAGCGAACTAACTGGTCTTTGGCATTGAGTTCTAAGTTGAAGGTTGTCATGGCAATACAATATCTCAAGATGGGTTTAGGATGACCAATACCTAGTGTAATAACTACATAGAGGACCTAAGTCTCATTGAGTGTATTGAAATTGCATTTTGCAGCATCATCCCGATCCAAACTATTGACGCAGTCATATAGAGGCAATAGTCTAACTATAAGTCTAAGCGCTCGCTGCGACCGGCGCAGAAGTAGCCTCGGAGTGCACAGGAAGTGGAGTAGGAGCAGTGGCATCAGCCTTGGGCTCAGGCTTCTCGAAGCTCTTCATGGGGTAGTATCCCCAGCGGTCGAACATGGCGCGGTCCTCATCCCAGCCACTGCAGTCGGTGGTGAGCATCTTCTCGCCGGTGAAGATAGCGTTGGCACCTGCTTGGAAACAGGCGATCTGCTGCTCTTCGGTGAGCGCGATGCGACCGGCAGCCAGGCGAACGATGGTACTAGGCATGACAATACGGGCAGTGGCGACGGTGCGCAGCAAGCGGTCGAAGGGGATCATTTTGCGGTCGCCGAGAGGGGTACCGGGGATAGGAACGAGGGCGTTGACGGGGAAGGATTCGGGGTGGGCGGGCAGGCTGGAAACGGTGTGCAGGAGACTAATGCGGTCGCCGTCACTCTCGCCGAGACCGAGAATGCCGCCGGAGCAGACGTTGATGCCGGCATCACGCACGTGCGAGAGCGTCTTCAGGCGCTCGTCGTAGGAGCGGGTGGTGATAATGGTGGGGTAGAATTCACGCGAGGTATCGAGGTTGTGGTTGTAGGCGGTCAGGCCGGCCTCCTTTAGCTCCTTGGCCTGGTCTCCGTCGATCATGCCCAGGGTCACGCACACCTCCATGTTCATCTCGCGGATTCCGGAGATCATCTGCTTCACGTTCTTGAGACTGGTCTTGCGGCCACGCATGTCGCGCCAAGCGGCGCCCATGCAAAACCGGGTGCTGCCATTGGCCTTTGCATTGCGGGCTTTGGCTAGGACATCGTCGACGGGGCTCATTTTGGTGGCCTTTAGACCTGTGTTGTGCTTGGATGACTGGGCACAGTACGAACAATCTTCACTACAGCCACCGGTCTTGATGTTCATCAGGGTGCACATCTGGATAGCCGCGGGGTCATGGAAGCGACGGTGGACAGCAGCCTGGAGGAGTCAGTTTAGCGGAAAGTTGGCATTGGGCCATATGGTGAATTTCACTTACGGCCGCATAAGTGAGCTGGCTCAATGGCGTCTCGTAAATCTGCTTGACCTCATCTAGGGTCCAATTGGTCCGGGGACCGGTAGCACCCGTAGCATCGGTCAAGGTGAGGGGGATGCTGGTCAATGAAGCAGCACTGGGGGAACCCTGGACGGTACCGTAGGACCGAACCAACGCTCGGGACAAGGAGCGAATGGGCAGCGACATGGTGGTGAGTTGAGAGCAGAGGAGAGATTGATAGTAGGATGACTCTGAGAGGGGCAGCCCGAGATTGATTCACCGGTTCAATCGTGTGGGGAACAAAATACCGCCGGCTTATTGGGCTTCGTCTCGGGAAAAGAATTGCTGACCTTGTTATTTCCTGTGTGGAGATCCTTTGAATACGGTTGAATACTCCGTTGAGCCAATTCCCAACATGTCCATTCTCCCCGGGCGATTGGAATTGACTCGGCTGTGACTTGTCCGTGGGGGAATTTCCCTTTTGGGCATATTCCACTTGACGATATAAGCGCGTATATTCTTTTACAACATGCAAATCACTCGTAATTATTGCAATACTTTCTTCTTTCTCTACAGAAACCTTGGAAATATCTTCCAGTGCGTCATGGCTATCCACACTCTCTCCAACCAATGATATGCCTTTTATATAGCCGACACGCTCTTGGACTAAATATAGAGAGATCAACACTTCTAGGATCAATCTGAACCCTCAACATATTTACTAACTGTTAATAACAATGGAATAGTTCTATCTTAGCCTATACGATAGGTAACAAAACCCAACCGTATAGGAGTGTTCTGCAATTACAACTCAATCCAATATAATATGTACGAAACTATAGTCTATAGCCGAAGCAAAATAGACAATGACAGAGATGAATCCCCGCTCAAAACACCTATCGTGGCAAGAATCCTCCAATGAAAACCGAATACCCAATTCAAACTGCAAGCGGACCATTTAGCCCTTTTCATATTCCCTGCACGGTCGCACAATTGAGGACCAACTTGAATCCTGCAAAGGCGGAAGTCAAGATCCACACCGTAGGATCAACCGAAGAAGCATGAGCACAAGGTGAGTGGGTGTATACTTCGGGGGCCTCAGTTTGAACAGACACGGACTTACGACTTCGATAAGGCGTTCTAGGTTAGGCAAAAGGATGAACCACCGTGTGTTTAATACGTTCATCAGCCTCGATGATTCGGTGCTGGGTTTCTTTGGCGCTTTATAGCCGAGGGTACTCGTTTGACCCGGTTCACCGCACTCGACGAGCGTGTAGCTCCGGTTTGCGGTTGGCCCTGAGCTCGATAATATCAGAATGATATTCTTGCGGGCGGTTTGACTAAGTCCTCGATGATATTTCACCAGGGGCTTCTCCTAGGCAGCATTGAGCGAGATCGCGAGATCTTTGCTCGTATACTCGTTAGTGGGCCACCTGGTCTGGAGAAAAGATGGGGGATTCAAGTAAGCATAACGCTTTCCTTCGTGTAGCCCTCCAGGATTGGCCTTTGAGGGTCTTTTCTAGGGCAGGTATCCTTCAGCTAGGTTAATATGATGCTGGGGAACGATTAATAGATGGCTTCTCGAACAAGCGCTGCGTGTGATGTTGAAAATGACAGGTTGAATCACTTTGGTGCCAGAGATATCGGTAATTGAACCCAGCTGTACATACTGCCTCTTTTTGATCAGACCGAATAATCTCCAACTTCCCTCTTCTCCAAATCCGCGTGTTAGCCTCATCTGTCGGGCCAAGACCTCCGAAACATCGGACTGGGTCTCCGATACGCATTTAGCGCTAACCCGTTTGAGCCGATAAAGCCCGATCGTTCAATGATCTTTAAAGAAAGGCAATTACCTTGAGATCGATCGATGCGAGTCTTTTCTTTCAATTTTCAACATATCCGATCCAAAAAGCATGCCCCCTAAACGCGATATCCGCATCGGAAATGTCTCCGGCGCAACGGGCGACAGCCCGCACGCCATGCGGCGCATGGCGCAAGACGGCAACGTCGATGTAATTGTCGGCGACTGGCTTTCAGAGATGAACATTGCCTGGAACGCCATTGCCAAAGACCAAGATCCATCGTTGGGCTATGAAGCGGGCTTCTTGGCGCAATTATCTGAATCCATTGATCTAATCGTGGATAAAGGGATCAAGGTCATTACCAATGCGGGTGCTTTGAATACGCAGGCATTGGCTGCTCAGGTGCAGGAGATGTGTCGTGCGCGGGGCCACAAGGATGTGGTGATTGCCATGGTTCTAGGAGATGATATCTCCCAGACTGTAACCGATCCTGCTAAGTGCCAGAACCTCCTGCATCTCGACCATCCAGAATGGGCACTCAAGGACTGGCAATTGGAGCCGTACTGTGGAGTGGCGTATATTGGAGGCTGGGGTATTGTCGAAGGAATCAAAGCGGGCGCAGATATTATTATTTGCGGACGAGTCACGGATGCATCACCAGTGATTGGAGCTGCCGCATGGTGGCACAATTGGGCTCGAGATGATTGGGATCGACTTGCAGGTGGCTTAGTTGCGGGCCGTGAGTATTCTTCGTATAGAGAATAATTGGCTAAATTGACTAACTAAGTATAGATTTGATCGAGTGCGGGCCATATGTGACAGGAGCCAACTTCTCCGGATTCAAATCTATCCTCCCTGAGCTGGTGGACCTTGCATTCCCTATCGCAGAGATCACTAGCGAAGGAAGTTGCACCATCACAAAGCCCGAGGCACATGCCGGAGCCGTGACAAAACACAACACCATCGCTCAATTCCTGTACGAACTCCAGGGAGAGCAGTACCTGAACCCAGACGTGGTTGCCAACCTCCACAACGTGACCATGGAGCAGGTCGGCCCGAATCGGGTGCACGTACATGGTATCACCGGATCTCCCCCACCGGCAACAACCAAGGCAATGATTGCAGCCAAGGGCGGATACCAGGCCGAGGCTACATTCTACATCAACGGCCTCGACGTCTCGGAGAAAGTCGAAATGATGCGCAACCAGCTCCTGCACATCTTCCGAGACCACAAATTCAGCAAGTTCTCAATCGAGTTATATGGAACCCCTGCATCAAATCCCAGTAGCCAGCAGGCCGGCACAGTCTTCCTACGCGTCTTCGCACAGGCCAAAAAGAAGGAAGATATCTGTGCGGAAAAGTTCAAGATCCCAATATACGCTCTACGGATGCAGAGCTACCCTGGATATCATATGAATCTCGACTTCCGGACCATGGACCCAAAGCCGTTCATGGAAATATTCCCAGTCATCATCTCGATGGCGTCTCTCGACCACCAAACACATGTTTTGGGAAGCACTGTTTCCAGTCCGATTTTGATTGAGCCTCCGAAGATAACCTCCAAGTACCCCGATATCCGAGATTCCTATGAGACTGCAAACGCAGTCGATTTGGCGAGCTTTGGACCTACGCAACTAGCTCCCTTGGGCCACATTGTCCACGCCAGATCAGGAGACAAGGCAGACAACTCGAATATTGGTTTCTTTGTCAGAAATCAGGACGAATATCCCTGGTTGCAGTCATTCTTGACGGTTTCCCGGATCAAGAGCCTATTCGGGGACGACTGGACGAAGGGGGAGAATCATGCCGACAGAAGGGTGGAAAGATGTGAGTTCCCCAATATTCTCGCCGTTCATTTCCGGGTACTAGACTTCTTGGACGGGGGTATTGCGAGCTCTAGCAGGATTGACGGCTTAGGGAAGGGGATTGGGGAATACTTGAGAAGTAAGGTTGTTCCTATCCCGGTACAATTTTTGGAGAGAGGATGTATTTAGAGCTTTCTACGATTGGAATATGTACATAACGTGTTTTATAACTTTCTTACTCGTCTCATGTCTCGGTTTCAGGTAGTTGCGAACCACCGATCTGTCCTAGCCAATCCTGTGAAAGTTGACCAATGGGGTCTTCGCCGAATGCAGACTCGTGGAAATGTTGTAGATCGTCAAAGCAATCCCGAAAAACGTCATCGACCGCAAGCAGAGATGATAGCATTGGATCCTGGAAAGACCAGCCCTCGGACGGCAACGTATCCATTGTATAATTTGAGGCGGCGATATTTGGAGGGACACTGTTGCACAACGCAGGAGGGGTGGGAGGAACCGGCTGCGGCAAGCTACCAAGTCGAGGTGCTGTGTGATATTCGACCGCATCTGATAATACAGCATCGCTCAGCCGATCGAAAACACGATGGCAATGACGAGCGATATCCCCACGTTCTGACACCGCCACCAAGACACTGGAGCAAGAGCGGCAGATGTTGACGATTTCCAGAATTGATGGATCGGAGCTTAGCATCGGTGATCCCTGGCCAAGACGCTGGTTCTTCTTGGTGCGGAAATGCTGTCCAGCAGCATAAACAAAGGAAAGACCAGCCATGAAGACGCCATGCAACGTAATCCAGGTATAGTTGATCCGTTGTAATTCATGAAGATGTGCGTAGAAACCAATCGCCTTTTTTGCCGACTCATATATGATTGGCACTGCCACTGCTGCTCTGGATGAGTTCAATGGGAGCGCTGGAGAAGGCCGGTACAACATGAGCAGAGCATTGTGATAGACCATCTCGTACCACTCAACGGTTAGGAAACTGGAGACCTTGGCTCCGTCTGACGCACCACTTTCAAGGTGTAATGTGCTCGTCTTGGTGTGCCATTCTTCCAGGTCATTGGCAAGCTCGGCTTGTGCAGCCAAGGCGGAATGTTCGTTATTGGTGTATCGGCCTCGGTGCAGAGATGACATGATTCTGCCGCAAAGAATACGGTACCGGATTATATGCGCGAAGACCGCTTCTCGGTACTGCTCCTCCGTTGGGCGTACCTCATGCCCTTCTGGAGTACTCAAAGGTTGTGTGATTCCGTAATCTGGAAGTGCGAGGTCCACGTCTTCTAGGTGTATTGCGAATGGTCGACCTAGCGTAATACTGACTACGCTGAGCGCGAAAGAAAGGTTAGAGTTACATCTTCAATAAATAACCACAGTGAACTCACCGATCCATTGCCAATACACACCACAGCCATCGAGGATGTACCGTGAAAGTGGAGGCTGGTGTAGAGTTTCCTCGATAATTATACGCCTCTTCCCGGTGGAGGCCCATCTCGAAACACATTCGTGCCGCCATCCCAACCATGTGCCATAGACTTCCAGATGTTCTCTGTGTGGAGTTTGTCAATTGATATTGACAGAGGAGTAGAATCGCCTGTAGCGCTACGATGCCCCCCAAAGCTAGGATATCGTTCAATCTGGACATGGCTTGTGCATGGTATGTTTCCGCTTCGGGCAATGACTGCCAATGAAGCTTTTGAACATTCGAAGCTGAAATAGCTAGAATCATATAGAAGCAAAATGTCTCGTAAGGTTTCCGTTCAAATGTAGACGGTTCCGCATAGACTTTCCTTAGATTATCCATTGCCGATTGCTGGCAGAGAATTGGAAAGCACAGGTGATCATGTTCAAAGTATGCGCGATGGAGGTCGCGAGCTGCACTCTCCGGCAGAGCTGGTGGTCCTTCTCTGATTGAAGCCGACAACTGTACAGCCCTGGTGGACGCCCCAGATGCCGACGTAGACCCGGATCCCTGAGCATTCAGCTGGGCATTAGACGAGGCATCAGCTTTAATGGTGGATATTATCAAATCTGCAAAAGGAACACCGCTCGTGGATCCCAGAAACCGCCGCTCACCCCCAGCATTCAGAGATAAGAATGAAACTTCATCGGAGACCTCGTGTCGGCTTTCTTCCGCTTGAGGGCTCTTAGTCGTAGAAGGAGTATTCTGATTGTTTGAAGTCGAATTGAAGGCGGCCAATCTCGCTGTCAATGCTCGATTTGTCGCTTCTGTTTGGCGTAATCGGCGTTCAAGCCTTTCGATTACATCTCGTCGGATCGGAGGCTCTTTCGTTCTGTCGGTGTATACACAGGCCACACCCGCTTTGCTGCATACCCCACAGGATGGGTGGACTTTGTCACATCCGGATTTTCGCCTCCGACATCTATCGCACGCTTGCATATTCTCTAGTGTTTTTTTTTTTTGTTGGGGTAAAGGGGGAAAATGGTATCGGAGGGCGGATGCGAAGACCCGACGGGGCACGGCAGTCTCCATCGGCAGTCCCATAGGGAATCTTAACCGCCTAGCTCACAAGGTTGCCGGCTTTCCATTGCACCCTGATTATACGCGACCTCTAAAATAACACTTGATGTATCCAGACGTACAAGCTACTTATGCTAGAAAATACATATATACTGCGGGCAAAATCTCGCACTGGCAGTTAAAGACTGCCGTATGTCGCAGTCAACCCCGGTGTACGGCAAAATGGGGCAATTTGACAATACGATTTCTGCCGTGCAGAATCCGAGCACGCCGCGGATGGAACAATACAATACCAGTGAAATTTATTCGCGTAACCTTAAGGATCTAGATAACATGACAGATGGATGAGGCAGTAATAATAAAGAGAAACCACAACTTTCAGAGCTCAATGGGCTCAAAGGTAAGCTTGCATAGCATGTCCTTTGGTCGTGATGTCATCAACTGATCCGACATTTCCATCGATGCGTTCATGTCATCCGCAGGTCGGGTACGGAATCTTGAATAGACAGCATGCAGAAGAAGTCTCATTTCTGACATTGCGAGACTATGAGTAGGTTAGCAAAAAGTCAAGATCAATATCAATTAAAAGACTTCACAAAGACACACAATTTACCAAGACATGTTCTGGCACCGGAACCGAACGCAAACATCAAACGTTGCCTCTCAACTTTCCCTTCGACCTCAAGCCAGCGCTCGGGGTTGAAAGCTTCCGAATCGGGAAAGATGGTCTGGTCCATTCGGTGGACTGTAAATGACTGAGCGCTGACAATTGTATGGCCTGGAACAAAGTGACCGTCAATGCAGCGGCCACCATCAGGCACGTACCGAGGCAGAGACTGTGTTCCTGGAGCCCAAAGTCTCATTGTCTCTTCAATTATAGCATTTAGGTAGGGTAGGTCGATGAGTGTATCTCCATTTTCCGGGCTGTGCATTCGCAACTCTTCGCTCAGGCGTTGCATCTTTTTGCTATTGTGAGGTTGAGATATCTCCCACATTAGAAAACATAGTGCGTCGCCAGTTGTGTCAATACCCGCACCGATATGATCTAGACATTCGGACACCATGTTTCCGGTCCCTATCTCAGGGTACTGGAGTAGTCGTGTGGAAAGGGTGAAGACCGAATGAGGTTCTTTGCGAATGGATGCCCAGGCATATTCGTCGATCATTTCACCACCCTTCTGAGACTGTGTATCAAATAGGCTGTAGAAGCGATGCAACCAGGGTAAATAATGCCTGATTACCAAACCTTTAATATAGTAAGTGTGCTGGATCATCTTGCAATCTCCACGTTATACATACCAGGTCGGCTGTTATGATACGAGAGATGACGAACCATATCGTTGTCATTGCCTTCTTCGATAGACCTCGTGCCATATGGATCAAAAGCAATAGCACTGACACAGTCCAGGGCGTAGCAATGTAGATATAACTGTAATGATAGATCAGTCTATGAACAGAAATTGAGAAAAGACTGACATGAACATACATAGACATCCAAAGTTTTCTTTTCAGCGCAAACTCTGGCAAATTCATCTGCTCGATCACGCAAGAGCGCCTGTATCCCTGGCTGGAGGACCGCTGAGTTTGAGTACCGATCCGCTAGTCTCTTTTTCTTCTCGTTGTGCTGTAGTGGAGTTAACTATATATATCCTTTTCAATCTCCAAGTGCGTTACTGACTTCTTTCTTATCAAGGGCCGTGAAAAGATTCCTGTGAGGCCCATGTTGAAAAAGAGAGTACAGCTCAGTCTTGGCGTAGCCACCTCCAGTTGTATAAATCTCTTTTATCGCGGTCGCGCTGGCGAAAGATAGTTCATTTGGAGCTATGCGTACAGATTCCCCGTATTTCAAGTGCAAGCTGTGAATCCAAAGTCGTTTCGAGCCCCTGTACTCATGGTATACCAGAAAAAGAACACTCAGGTTGGTATACCATGGCCCTGGAATCTTGCTCAACGGTGAAAATATCAGACGATATAGTAGCCAGCCCATAAGGATGATCATGGAGATACATCCCAATGTGGGTTCCACCAGAAAACCTGTGAAGATGGTCATCTTGTAGAGGCTTCTGTTTTGGAAATGTTCTACAATCCAGGAGAATAGAAGGGGCCGCAAAAACTTTTAAGGATATCAAGTCCTCCCACTGTTTTAGGTGTCGAGGTCTAAGTGCAGATCCTAACCACACCAAAGAGGAAAGCACATCCGACATGCAGTTGAACTGGGAGATTGTTAATATGCATGAATAATGTCATTCAGGAGATTGACGCATGAACAGCCTTCTTCCCTTGCTTCACCAAAAAGGAAAGTATTGCAGATATTTCGAGAATAGAGGAATACGTCTCTGCCCCGATATGCGCTATCTACAACCTTGTATGAAGTCGACCAGTCGCTGACTAAATAGGGTCTGTGCGCTCTTTTTCCACCCAATCATATTCCATGGAATTATGCTTGGCAGTCCAAAAGAGGAAGGCATTGGAGATGAACGTACATTGGGCGAGTCAACTACAATATACAGACGATCAAAGATATCAAGTCTCTCTTCATTTGAGAAATGGGATTCAGTTCTATTCTTTCTATTCTCATCTCGTAACAAGAACGATATCAACGAAATGAGTACAAGATAAGCTCTTATCTGTATCACTGCGTGTATCCAAGCCCCTGGACCGAAGTACGTCAGAGAATTAGCCAAAGAATAAAAACCATTATATCTCCTAGGACTATGAGCCAGCGTGAATTATTGTCCATCGCTCTGATTTCCTGCTCATTACCTGTTCATAAAGCTCTAACATTCTCATAATGAGTCAACACATGACGGACGCTCCTCCCTTGGATGAGCAGAAAAAGTCTCCTCGTCTTTCCACTTCTCCAGCCCACACCGATGAGCTGGAAATCGAGATTTTACAGCTCGACCCTTACGGCATTCCTTTATCCCCTTCGCCGACGACAGATCCCCTAGATCCACTGAACTGGTCTAAATCACAGAAGAGCCTTATTTTGTTTATAGCATGTTATTCAGGATTTCTATCCGTGTATATGACAGGAACACCCATTGCGTCGTTCTATTTACTTGAAGAGCAGTTCAATGCTTCCTACTCTATGGTCAATTGGACAATCGCCATTCCCTCTTTAGGCTTGATGGTCGGTCCGCTCTTGTTCTCAGCCCTGGGTGATCGCTGGGGTCGCCGACCCATCCTCATCGGTACATGCGTCCTCACAATTCTTGCGACAGGTTGTACAACAATCAGGTCTATAGGACTCGGAGGATACATGGTCACTCGGCTTATACAGGGCATCGGTGCTGGTCCGTCCATTGTCGGTGGGTTAAGTATCATCCGCGACATTTCGTTTGAGCACGAGCGTGGGTTTATGATTGGCCTCTGGGTTATGGGACTTGATATCGGCGGTACTATGGGCTGCCTAGGTATGCCCCGCGGTTGTGGCGTTTGACAACGTAACTTTGTGAAATACTGCTAACAATTCGGTCTAGTTGGAGGCTTTACAGCTTTAGCCAACCAATACTGGGCTGGTTACCATGTTGTAATTGCCTATGGCGTCTTGCTAATTCTGGAAGTCTTTTTCCTGCCAGAAACGCTGTTTCCCCGCGATCTGATATTGGACCGAATTAGGAATGGGCAATCATTTGCCGATATCAACCGAACGAAGATGATTAAACCTTGGGTGAGTAGGGCCCAAATTCCCTCGATGCATCATCATTTAACACAAACCAGAATGTGATCGAAATTCCTGGTGTAGCTCATCCCCGCCCAGAACAAGGAATCATAAGATTTTGCAAGATGTGGTCGCATCCCAGGCTGGTCCTCGGCGTTTTGCCTTATGTTTTCTGTCTGTACTGGTGGTAAGATAGATGGCATTTAGACACCTTGAGTCCATACTTACGCCTGAATAGGGTCTTATCCTTCATGACCATGGTGCCTGCCGCATACTCCAGTTATCAGCCTGAAATCCAGGGACTTCTTTTCTCTGGTCTTATAGTTGGAACAATTGCAGCCGAGCTCTTGACTTCCGGTAGGCTTAGCGACATCATTTGCTCCCGCTTGGCGACAGCAAATAACAACATCCGAACTCCCGAAATGCGACTCTACCTGATGTATCCTGGTGTGGTCCTTGCATCGGCAGGAACAATTATTTGGGGCCTCTCAATCGATCGCCAATGGCACTGGATCACAGGCCAAGTCGCTTTCTTTCTATGTGAGAATATGGCGGACAAGATATATTGAAACGATGACTGATATTGACTTTACTTAGTCTCTGCTGGAATGCAAATTGGAAATTGCGCTGTCTCGACCTACATTTTCGATTGCTACTCGGAACATATTACCGAGATTATGACATTCTATGCCGTCGTATTGAACGTATGTTAATTTGCAATCTATGGCAAGGAGTACTCCAATACTAACAGCGACAGTTTTCTGCCTTTGTCGAGCCATGGTTCATTAATTATTGGGTTGAAGCCGTCGGTAAATATATCCCACTCCAACATTGCATGCATTCGTTAGCTCACAAATATTCAAGGCTATACCTGGTGTTTTGTCACGCAGGGATTAATAGTACTACTCCTTGGTCCGATTTATATGGGGCTACAGAGGTACGGTTCAGCCTTGGCGAAGGAAATGGTTTTTTCTGAAGACGAAGTTATAAATTTACCAGTGTGAAGTCATTCTCATCTCAATATGCGAGGAAATCTTGGTTTATGGAGTCTGATGTGGTTGGGTCAATTAGTATGGACAAAAGGAAACTGTAGATATAGTAGATACTGATTTGCACTTACCTGATGCTATTCTTTGAAAAGAGCTCATTTCTAGCCAGTGTCTTTCCATATTCTGAAGTGCAACCATCATGCTTTGATTCCGTGTTGATTCATAATGAAGAAGAAGAAGTTCTCTGATCTCCTGACGAATATCCCCCAAGGCGTACATTCCAGCAGCGGAAAGGGCGGTGTTGATCCCAAGACTGGGAGAGAGACCAGATCGGGGCTCAACTTGCTTTGAGAGATGGATTATGGTTTTTATGGTTTCCATAACCTCAGGTGTATCGAGAGGTAAGCGTCGAATCTGAGTACGGATATGAAGAAGAGCCGTGTATTCGTAAATTTGGTTGCAGATGGTAAATTCCCCGACTTGGTCGGCGTTAAGCATCTCCTGCACTCTTGGAAGAAATCTGGGCGGCAGATCATTGTCTCTGTGTATCATTTGAAGTAAAGCAGACTCCATATTTTGACCTTCCAATTCAAAATCACTCGGAGACAGAATAGAGTTTTGTGGTGTAACATCAAGCTTGCGTCGGTCGAAAGCTACAGCTCCAATATGGCGAAACATGTCCAGAACTTCGTTGTAACAAGCCACATGATCGTTCAAAAAGGCTTGAGAGGATGGTTGCTGGCCGTCCTTCGGCTCTAGCGCCTCAAATCCTTTGGCTGTAAGCATTGCAATAGCTTCTAGCAACTGGTAGCGCTTTGTCAGGTATTCGATTTGAGATTCGTTTCCTACAAATTCTGTAGCGCTTATAATAGAAAAGGCCGCCTTTGCGCCTCGGAGGTGGGCTCTCCAAGATATATAGTCGTCACCCTCATGGCAAAGAGAGCACAGACATAGCATCAAACTAGATGCCATAAGGGGAACACCTGACCGAAGCTGAAGAGAAATCTCCCCTTGAAGATCACGTACACTTTTGGTCTCGAGTTGAATCATCTGGCGTCGGAGATGTCTTTTTTTGACTTCGTCTGTGGTACGAGAGGCTTGGTGGCCAGCAGCGAAGGCCAACAGAGAATAAAGCAGAGCGGTACTTGTGGATGACAAAGACATCAACACATTGCAGGCTTCATGCTGCATCTGTGGGTGACACGAAATCATAGCCGATGCCTGGCAGGTGAAATATTGGATGAGATCCCGCTGATCTGGTGCGACATCTGGGAACTGGTTCATGTCCATTCCGAGCAGTCGGGTTTGATAATCTTTGTCTGTGTGGTAACATAAATCTGGCCGAGAAAGTTTTTCTGCTTTTTCTGCTGAATATATAAAGTTGCCAAGACCGAGTTCTATTGATTTAGTTCTAAACTGCTTGTTGCGAATAAATGGCAACTTACCGACCCGTCGGACTCGACAATCTCCAAATCGTGACCGGTGGAAATCCCGTCCGCCCCAGCGAATGTTCATCATATAACTGCAATCGGCACCCGCTAAATGGCAACGGCCGCATTGTGGCTGCTTTTCGTCACATTTTTGACGTCGTCCCCTACATCGTGCACATCCGACTCGAGAGCGAGATCCGGTTCTTTTCGATGGTGCTTGCAAAGGTGACTTATTGGGGGCCATGGAGAAGGTGAGTAATTCATCCAGGTGGCCAGGGACGAAAGCAAGGAAGAAGGTAAAAGGCAGTTGTAGCCCTGGAGATGTTCCAACCAGCGATGTAATCAAACCAGATAAGCATAAGCATCAACCAATAGGAGGACAGTTCCACATGGACTAATCATCTTGTGTATTCACAGGGTTCACCTTTCGCTCGTGTCTTGAAGCGATCGTCATGGATAGGTTCTATAAAGTGCAATTGCAATCAAACTACTCCGTAAGTAATCATATGTTCGAATACACTGGTCTTATTCAATTGCTTCCAGACTGTGCCTTCACACAATATAAGTCATAACGAAGCCTTGAAGGTCTGCATCAGTTGAAGTCGACAGACTCTGGGAGAGTAGAATTAGTAGTAGTGAGTTCATGATCAGACCGACCGTGACGAGAATGAGCATAGTAATTAGGAATCCCTCCACGCGGCCCCATAATACGCGGTCTGTATTAAGTTGTATATTACCAAGGCGGAAACTTCAGCGGTAAAAATAATGCTGCATGTATCACTAAGCGTTGTCAAATGTGGCCCGTTTAGGCTACCGTACCGGCCACAAATAGCCGTTTAGCCATCGGAGACGGCCTCCTACCCCGAAAAATTAAACTATGGGGCACGGTTGGGGAATTGTGTATATCTTGAAACTGCTTTCCCCGGATTTTAGCTACCCCAGATTGCTGCACTTTTCCGTCCCTCACCTTGATTCCTCTGGCGATGCAGAACCACAAGAGTCCAGCAGATATGGTGGAAGATGTGGAGATAGGGATGAAGGTATACACTACATCCTTACCCCTGATATCTGTATCTTAACTAATCATAACTGTAGAATGGAAGTCCTTCCCCGGCGATCGAGGTCGACTTTGAACAAGAAAAGTCCCTCATTCGCAAGCAAGATCTTCGAATTCTACCCCTATGTGCTGGAATTTATCTGCTTTGTTACCTGGACCGTTCTAATGTTGGTATGTTTGGATTCAGTATGCCAATTAGCCGGACCAGTACTGACAAGTCGATCAAACAGGCAATGCGAAGACCCTTAACTCAGGGACAGGCAATGATTTGCTCGACGAAACGAATATGACAGACCACCAATACATGTGAGGCAATGCGAGTTCCCATACTTCGCGGCAATTCTGACTCAAATAGAATCGCTCTGATGGTGTTCTTGATCGCCTACGGCCTCTTTGAAGTCCCTTCCAACTATTTCCTCAAGAAGCTGAAACCAAGTGTGAGTAACTGTCCCATGTGATTTACAAATTCTAAGCTAATTGTGATTATAGCGCTGGATTGCATTCCTAATGTTCTCCTGGGGCGCAGTCACCATGGGCCTTGGAGGTGCCCAGAATTTTGCACAAGTCGCAGGAGTTCGCTTCCTCCTTGGGGTGCTTGAAGCTGGCCTATTCCCTGGACTAGTATTTTACCTCACATTTTGGTATAAAGTGTCGGAACGATCATTGAGAGTCGCGTTTATCTTGGCTTCTGCCACCTTGGCTGGCGCGTTTGGAGGAGCCATTGCATACGGAGTCGGGCATATGAATGGTGTAAGGGGTCTTTCCGCCTGGAGATGGCTCTTTATCATTGAAGGTGCGCCTTCGTGCGCGTCTGCGATCCTTGTTTGGTTCTTTCTTCCAGATTACCCAGAGACTTGTGGTTTCTTAACCGCGGAGGACAAGGCACTGGCTAAACAGCGACTCGCCGTGGAAGGAGGCCAGGGTGGGGCCAAAGCAATGACTTGGAGTGAAGCCAAGGCAGTTTTGACAGAATGGCGACTTTATGCCCACTACCTGGTATGTACAAGGTGTCTTCGGGGGAAACCGTTGGATTCATTCGTTGACTGGTATTATTAGGTATACTTTTCCATTTCCGTGCCATTTTCTAGTCTGTCACTTTTCACACCAACAATCACCGCCGGTTTGGGCTATGCAAATCTACAGGCTCAGTTGATGACGGTTCCTCCATATGCCGTTGCATATGTAGTAACTCTGGCGGTCTCCTGGTCTGCAGACTACTTCAATGCGTTCGTCCCCCTCTTCAGACTCCCAGTCAATTGACATCGCTAATCAAAATACAGTCGCGGTATGCATTCTGCTATCTTCTCATTTATTGGTGCTATGGGTTTCTTAGCTTCCGCTGTCCTTCCTGCAGACGCTTATCTGGTGAGCAATTTCTGATCTACCCACAACACTGTAAACGAATATATGCTAACATCAGCTCACCAGCACCGCTATGGATGCTTGATTGTCGCTACCTCGGGTGCATTCTCATGCATTCCTCCTCTTCTGGGCTGGCTGTCTTCCAATCTCCGCTCAACGGCTGGAATTGGTTTGGCCATTGCGATGAATATTTCCTTCGGAGCTCCTGGTCAAATCGTAGGTGTCTGGATCTACAAGTCCAATCAAGCCAAGAAAGGCTTCCCTACTGGCCACTGGACTAACGCAGCGCTCCTGCTGCTTGCTTGTTCCGTATGTGTTTCTTTGAGACTTTATTACGGGTGGATGAACCGGCGGTTGCCCCAAGGCCAGATCAGATATGTCTACTGAGATATTTTGACCTGTTTGAATATATTCTGGCGTTATTTGGGATATCTTACTTATATGAATAAAAGCTTTTTCAGTAGCGGGTATCCCTGGGCTCAAATCCGTGAGCAAGTCACCAATTCGGACAATTATCGGCAAAGTCGTACAAACAATCAATACGTCAAATGATGGCTTTCATGGATCTACGTATTTTGTATGCGACCGAGGCCAGACCAGATTATTATTAGCTTCCCCCGCATTTCTTTGGGAAATCATCCCTTCCTGGCGAACCTGTGCCGAGGTCAACGGCAATTACTGAGATCCCCTCATTTCTATACTTATACTGTTAAAGCGACTATTCCCTTGGCTAATTGTATACCAAGACAAGGCAAGATTGGAAGATGGATATAGGTGCGTGCTGAAACGACAATCCCGATCAATCTTACTGACAATTGACAGCAACCGCCGCCGCTGCTCTCGTCGGAGGAGCTACAGTCGCAGGATATCTGAATGCCAAGTTTCATATTCAGAAGGATGTATCAAATTTGGTCACGCTGAAGCACGCCGAACGACAATATGCCAATGCCGGTATGTTCTACATACTATCCGACAATTGCAAATCATACTGATCAGCTTTAGTTCGTCAAAACCAAGGAAATCCATGGTTCGTCCTACTGCAGACCGTGAAGCAATACCCCGACATGAGCTGTGTCTGGACTCGCGAGAGATCATACACCTACCGAGAAATACAAGACCAAGCCTGCCAATACGCCCATTTCTTCTTATCACAGGGCGTGAAGAAAGGCGACCTTGTTGCTCTTTACCTCCAGAACAGCAATGAGTACATCGTCGCATGGATCGCCCTCTGGAGCATTGGCTGTGCCCCCGCCGCGATCAATTACAATCTCACCGGGGACGCATTGCTGCACTGTCTGAAGATCAGTGGCGCGAATATCCTGCTCGTGGACGAAGACGCCGACTGTCGTGCCCGCGTCGATGAAAGCCACGACGCCATTACCGGTAATCTGGGAATGAAGTCAATGACACTGGATAGCTCCCTAAAGGCGCATATCAGCACCTTCCCAACAACCCTCCCACCCAAGGGACTGAGCAAACATGTGACCGGCGACTTCCCGGCGATCCTCCTATATACCTCTGGCACTACGGGCATGCCTAAGGGCTGTGCATTCACAATGTCCAGACTGTATACCACTCTCTTCATCCGTCGTGCCCTGATGGGAGACACGCCCGGCCCAGACGGCGATCGCTGGTACAGCTGCATGCCTTTATACCACGGCACAGCAGCTATCGCCGTAATCGCATGTCTAGTAATGGGCGTGAGCGTCGCCATCGCTCCCAAGTTCAGTGTGAGTAGATTCTGGACCGATATCCGCGACTCGGAATCGACTATTTTCATCTATGTTGGAGAGACAGCGCGGTACCTGCTCGCGCCACCCCCATCACCCCAAGACCGAAACCACAAGGTCCGCTGTATGTACGGCAACGGTCTGCGGCCGGATATCTGGGAGCGGTTCCGGGAGCGCTTTGGAGTCGCTGAAGTCGGAGAGTTCTTTAATAGCACGGAAGGTGTTTTCGGTCTGTTTAATTACAATCGCGGTCCTTTCACGTCTGGAAGTGTTGGTCATCATGGTTTGATCATGCGCGGGATACTGCATAATGTCTTCGTTCCTGTTGCTATTGACCCGGAGACTGGGGATATTCTGCGCGATTCTAAGACTGGCTTTGCGCTTCGCGCGCCTTATGAGCAGGGGGGTGAGATTATCGTCAATGTTCCTGGTGAAGAGGCTTTCCAGGGGTACTGGCGCAATGATGAGGCGACCAATAAGAAATTCCTGCGCGATGTCTTCAAGAAGGGGGATCTCTATTATCGATCTGGAGATGCTCTGCGTCGGCAGAGCGATGGCCGTTGGTACTTCCTCGACCGACTTGGGGATACCTTCCGCTGGAAGAGCGAGAACGTGTGAGTTGAAATCACCTGAGGGAATTCCAGCAAAGCTAATCAAAGCATCCATGGACTAGAGCAACCGCGGAAGTCTCAGAGGTTCTAGGCCAATTCCCTGGTATTACCGAGGCCAATGTGTACGGCGTCCGTCTTCCCAATCACGAGGGACGCGCTGGGTGTGCAGCTATTCAGATTAGCCCGGACGCCCGACAGACATTTGACTACACAGCGCTTGCGAGATTCGTACGCTCCAAGCTGCCTAAATATGCTGTTCCGTTGTTCCTTCGCATCGTCGAGAATCCCACGCACATCCACAATCATAAGCAGAACAAGGTACCGCTTCGGGATGAGGGTGTTGATATTGCCTTGCTTGGGACTAAAGCCCCCGAGGGTAAGGATGACCACTTCTTGTGGATTGCACCTGGTGATGAGAGCTATTCGCCGTATGGACAGAGAGAGTGGGAGCAATTGTCGACTGGGAGTATTCGTTTGTGAGCCGAGGCAGATGCAGATTCTGGATAGGATTACATCTTTGCTGTGCGTTTTTAGGACGACCAGTTCTATTTTATCTTAGCTAGACATGGAGATAATGCACATATCAGCATTCTGTTCGTTATATTGACATTGTTTATTCAATCAAGCGAGTTTCCTACATTGCAACTTGATACTCCTCGGCTCTCGGTCTTCTTCCGATCCATATGCAGGCCGAGCTCCTTACGACCGCCAACACGCAGTCTGTGGAAACTGGTCCAAGGCTACAGGGAATATGGCCATCTCTCGAAAGTCAATCACAAACGGCTGCCTTGCATGTCTTACATTATCTCCATGATGATCTTCCCATCCGGTTTACATTCCTACAAAAGCTCAAGTACTTCTTTCGCTCAAAATTGAGATCCAATTGATCAGAAAAACAAGCATTCTATAGAGGTAATTCTGTCTAGTCGGATGAAATACATAAGAGAAAGCGAAAGCGACCGAACAAAAATGAAAAATCAGGAAAGCTCGCTTCACATTCATCATTTGAACCGTCGAGGCCAAGGAGTTTTGGGTTGCACCAGGCAACATATTGGTATTTATTTCTTGTTGAGCAGGCCCGAGAGGTTGATGCTCTTGGGGCGCTCAATGGGCATGCCAAGAACGCGATCCCAGATCAGCTGGGATAGAGGGCCGAGGGCACGGCTGACACCGAAAGCGACGGTGTAGTATAGGGGCTGTTGGAAACCAAAGTGGTGGAAAAGGACACCGCTGGCGGCATCGACGTTGGGGTATGGGTTCTTGGTCTGTAGAAAAGTAAAAATCATTAGCTGAGAAAGATATTTTGATGATGTCTGCTGTTGGACATACCTTTCCGTGCTCTGTAAGCACACCCGGAGCGATCTCCGAGTTCTTCTTAACCAACTGGAATACCGGGTTGGCGAGAACATCAGGGCGGGTGGCGGCGAAGTCCATCAGGGCCTCGAAACGAGGGTCGGGCTTGCGCAGAACTCCGTGACCATATCCAGGGACCACACGCCCCGATTTGAGGGTGTCCCAGAGATAGTTGCGGACATCCTCATCTGTGAACTTGGTTCCGATCTTGTCCTGCATGGCAGTCACCCAGCGGAGAACCTCTTGGGCTGCCAGGCCGTGGAGTGGGCCAGCCAGGCCCAAGAGACCAGCACTGTAGCTCAGGAAAGGATCGCTCAGGGCGCTTCCGACGAGGTGAGTCGCGTGGGCTGACACGTTACCACCTTCATGGTCACCGTGCAGAGCAAGGTAAAGACGGAGTAGGTCGTGGAAGTCAGCATGGTCTGAACCACCCTTGCCCAGCAGCTCTGCGAAATTGTGTGCCCAATCCTGAGTAACGTCAAGCTTCTGAGTACCAACGGCATCGATGTCATTGGGACGGAAGATAATGGCGGCCACGCGAGGAATCTTAGCAAGGAGGGAGATGCTGTCGTCAAAGGTGGGCTCCCAGTAGTCGGCCTTGTTGATGCCATCCGCGTAGGCCTTGGCGAACTTGGATTCGTTATTGAGGGCTGCCACAGCAATTGACAGCTGGGTCATAGGGTGCATTGAGGAGGGGAAAGTCTTGATCAGGTCTAGGATGTATGAGGGGAGTTCGGACTTCTCGGCGAGCTCGCGCGAGAAGGCACGAACCTGTCCGGTGGAGGGCACCTGGCCCGTGAGCAACAGCCAGAACATAGCCTCGGGTAGCATTTCTGTGCCAGTTGTACCCTTTGGCAGTTCTTTCTGACAGTCCTTGATTGTCTTGCCGTGGAAGCGGATTCCCTCATCAGCGTCAAGGACAGAGCCCTCCCAGAGGATGGCCTTGAGACCCCGCATACCACCAATGACATTTGCGAATTTCACCTCGCCGATGACTTCCTCACTCTGTGCCTTGACCTGCTTGAGAAGCTCCCGCTTAGCCGGGATGACCTCCTTCAAGGTAGTCTTCAGGTCGGGCTCGGCGGTCGCATAGTGACGTGCCGAGAGGACAGGTCGTGCTGCCTTGAAAAAAAAAGTTAGCAAGCCCGAAATGTCACATTATAAATAATCATTATCATTCAAACTCACCTGTGCAAGCCTTGAAACATGCCGGGTTGATCTCCAGCTGAGAGCCATTTTGTGTTGTGTGGTGATGGGGTCCGGGGGTGGATTTGCGGGGGCGGAGATGAATTGCGGGGATAGGGAGAAACAGCAATTGAAGTCAAACTCGGGGGATTGACGAGGATAAATGTACAAAAAGAGGAGAAAGAAACAGCCGAACTCAGAGATCGCCTTGACCGAATGCAGACCGGTTGGACGCGGGGAACAAGGGGTTGTCTACCGAGGCCCGGGGTCATGCGGCCATATCGGCTGTGCTAACGTTGGGAGATGATGAAATAGACGGATATGACACATCTCAGTGAACATAGTGTTATTCCGTAATTCAGTCTACCTGGATAGTCTACAGAGTAGTGGTATAAATCGTGATATCTTTCATTGACATGCATTCTATACAATGTCTACACATACTTGGTGAAGGCTGGCCTCGGACCGAGTTAAACCCAATGCCGCCTATGTTCTTATAATATGAGCCTCGGGGTTCGCCAGAGTGAAAAAGAACATCCATTTATCCGTCAGAAGCGTCGGTTCACGTTGGTACTTCTGATTGCTGTGACATAACGCCTCAGGCATAGATCAATTTCAAGAATAAGGCAACAAGGCAGAAGGATATTCAGGCAGTAAGGCATCAAGGGTTCCAGGCACCAAGGCAGACATGTCACTGACCCAATCAGACAAATCCGGTTAGGCGCCTTTTGTCCCATGGCACCGCCGGACCCGCTGATTGGATGAGTAAGCAAAAAAAATTTCGGTCGCCCGTGGGTCAGCAATCGGCGATGGCGAAGATTGTTTTTACTTCTTTAGACCACTCTCCCCTCTTTGTGTTTCTTTTTTCGTTGTGTTTCGGGTCTTCAGGGTTTCTTCAGAATCGTGTGTACATACTCTACGATTCAACCCGATTCTATTCCTCTGTTTGTGTGCGTGAGTTGCGCTCTGAACAGTCTTATCTTCCGTAAAGTCGAATTGCCCCTCTCTACCCAAGGGCTTCATTTTTTTTTTTTTTTCGGTATCTCCCTTCGATACCGACACTCGATCTTCGACTCTCTGTTTCTCTGGAAAATGCCGCATACTGTCTCACCATCTGAGACTCCCGCCATGCCGACTATCGTTGCAAAGGGCCCCTCCGGCGTGCCCCCCACCTCCGAGGAGATTTCCTCACTCCTCAACACCATCTTCACTTCCGACACCTCCCAGAAGTCTTTGGATGGCGCATATGCCTTGACCAACCTGCTTATGCAGGGCGCCGGCACAGCCGGCCTGCTGAACTACAATGTTCTCGCCGATGTTCGCAAGGCTGCTTCCGATAAGAAGAATCCCACCAAGCGCGAGTGTGCCATGCTCATCATCGGTGCTTTGTTCGAACGCTTCCCCCGAGAATTCCCTCTCAGTGAAGCCGTTTTCCTCTTGCACGACGGAGGCGTCTTCGATCTTGCTCTGGATGCCCTGTCTGACAAGGGTGCCGTCGTCCGTGATGCTGCCCAGTACGCCATTGATGCCCTCTTCGGCTGTCTCAGCCCCGAAGCCATGGTTAACGGGCTGATCCCCGCTCTCGAGCGCTACCTGGCCAAGGGATCTGGCAAGTGGCAAGGCTTTGTCGGTGCCTACTCGCTGATCGAAAAGATGGCCGTCAAGGCGCAGTTGGGCAAGGGTACCAAGGACGAGGAGCGCCAGAAGGACTTGCTGCGTGAGGCTATGGGCAAGACCCTGAAGGAGCTCATCCCCATTGTCGAGTCCGGCATGCACGACCTGAAGAGTGAAGTGACCAAGCAGTCTTGCAAGACCATGACTGCTCTCACCACCCTCCTGTCCAACGACGATGTCGCCCCCCGTATTCCCCTTCTGATCAAGACCATGGAGAACCCCTCCGCCCAGACTCTTCAAAAGGCCATCCACGCTTTGTCTCAGACCACCTTCGTCGCCATCGTCACATCTCCCGTGCTGGCCATGTTGACTCCTCTGCTCGCTCGATCCCTCAATACCCCTGCTACTCCCCAAGAAACCCTTCGCCAGACCGTGGTCGTTGTGGAGAATTTGACCAAGCTGGTCCACGATCCCGCTGAGGCCCGTACTTTCCTCCCCAAGCTCCAGCCTGGTGTGAAGTCGGTCAAGGAGACTGCCTCCCTGCCCGAGGTTCGCGAGCTCGCCACTCGTGCTCTCGACGTTATCGAGACTGCCATGGGAGACAACCATCTTGCCTCTGGTTCCATCTCCAAGATCACCCCCGAGGAGGTCCTGGTCGTGCTGAATGCCAAGATTCAGGAGCACGGTGGTCTGGTTGGTTTAGACTCTAAGCTGCAGGATCTGGCCAAGAACTTCATTGCCGGCATGGTCCGCGAAGATGTCAACTGCCGCATGCACGACCGTATCTCCGACCGCATTAGCCCATACCTTCGCGGTCTGCTTGCAGACGGTAACGCGGAGGCTGTCGCCGCTGCTGTCCAAGCCCACTACATCGCAGAGGATGAGATCAAGTTCGGCAAGCCCATCCCAGATGACCCGAACGATGTTGAGATTGTCAACGCCAACTTCTCTCTTGCTTACGGAGGTATGCTCCTGCTGTCCCACACCAACCTGCGTCTCCTCAAGGGCCACCGATACGGTCTTTGCGGTCGCAACGGTGCCGGAAAGTCTACTCTGATGCGCAGTATCGCCAATGAGAAGTTGGAAGGCTTCCCGCCCCAGGATGAGGTTCGCACTTGCTTCGTGGAGCACAACCAGGGTGAAGATGCCAACCTGACCATCCTTGAGTATGTTGCCAAGGATCCCAAGATTGTTTCTCAGGGCATGGACCACATTCGCGAGGTTCTCCTCGAGTTCGGATTCACCGATGGCCCCGAGGGCCGCCAGTCCCAGCCCGTGGGCTCTCTGTCCGGTGGTTGGAAGATGAAGTTGGCTTTGGCCCGTGCTAT